GTTTGGACACAGATGTTCTTTTGTGGTGTTGTAATATTTTTATTTTTAAGTCTGAGGGATATCCTGGAGCAGTGGTTTTCAATACAAGTTCCATTTGTGATGATAAATTAGGAATAAGGACAACAAAGAACACAAGACATGCTTTTGTTTGTCGAGTGTAAAATATTTGATATTTCTAACGAAGATTAAAAAACACGGCAACTTGTGACAGCATCATAAGTCAACAATACTAGAAATCTACAGTTGTAGCAGCTCAGTAAGGCTGTGCTGAGTGTCAACGTCAGCATGTAAACATACTTATCATGCTTTTAGTCAGCAGGTATGTGTAACATGTTGACCATCTTAAATAACAGTGCTGTCATTAGTTTTTGCAGGAACTTGATAAGCCAGAGTTGGGCAAATGATTCAGCTCTGTTGATAACGAGAAGCATGTGTGTATCAATTTATGTGCTAATCTGTCCAGTCTTTGTCGAGATTTTTATCTCAGAACTACAAATGGGCCTAATGATGGCACTAAAGGGGATTCGGTGGATTGTAAAAACTTTGCTAAAAGGGAGCAACATTATCTCAGGAAAGAGAAAAACTCTCTTTTTCTGTAATCCTGTCGCTATTCAGACTTCCCTTTCTCTGTTGCTGGTGACAAATGAGCACACTTCCAAACAATACACAAACACACCATCCAAGTGTCTTTTTGTTGAACAGATCTCTTTGTGTTAGTTTTAGTGTGCAGTCTGACATGCCAAGAACTGGAAAGCAACAGATTCTCTGATTATGTGCTGATTGTAGAAGTAGGTCATGGAGAAAACAGCAAACATGTAAATGTGGAGAAATGACTCCCCTTGGCACTGTCTGCAGTAATCTATGATAGCTTGCAAATTTAAACAAGATACAGTCTGGTCTTTGTCTGTGGAAGAGAGATGGCAAGAGCAGAGTTTTCATCATCAGGGCCTTTTCTCCCCCCAGACACTGACAAAACTCAGACTGATAAGTATTTCTAAACGCAAAGTAACGCTTCATTGTGACAGCGTACTGTCTGAGGGATTAAAGAATTCGGGGTTCTACGTGCAGTAATGTTATCTACATAATGTGTTTCCCAAAAGGAAGCGAACACCTGTAGTTGAAACACATTGCTGGAAAAGCAGTGAGATAAGAAGCAGCTGTGGAGTGTGAAAGTGTGAAAGGAGATCAAATGTAACCCACTAAAAGCATTTGAAGTGAAAAGTGAAGTAGGAGTCGACCACAGAGCTTTCAATTAATTTATTTTTGATAACTTCTCATTGGCTCTCTTTCTCCGCGTATTTAGGAGATTGGACAGAATACGTCGCGAGATGTCGGCGGACACTGTCAACAGGTCACCAGAGCCTGAACCCACCATGCCGTCCACCCCTCCGCCGTGGACCATGGAGCCGCCTCCATCCTACGACGCAGTGATGAAAAGCCAGGAGCGCAATGAACAGCTTTAAGCTCAGGTGGACATGCTAAATTCATGTCAGTGCCTTTTGTGTCCGCGGTTCTCCACAAGGACTTTGAAAGAACAGCCGGTGCTATCAGTGAACTCGTTGCAGCGGGACGTTTAGGTGCCTTAGCACAGACACGCTGATCCCAAACATAAGACAAAAAACAGCGACAGACTGCAGCTGGTTAACAACTTAATATTTTTACAGGCTGGGCCCCAGTTTGGCCTTTATGTCTAATAACTATGTGTGTTCTGACTGATTGTGAAAGAAATTGAAATGATTACTACAACTGCTTTTACTCTTTGTACTAAGGGGGGGCTTTCTTGAGACCAACATGTTGTAGGCTCAACTTTTACAACCAAGTTCATGGATGGATTTTATTGGCCTGCATGAATTTATGTGACCTACTACTGTGGCTGCATGGCACTCTTCTCCACACGTAATAACTTTCTTTCCCCCCCCTTCTCATGGCTGCACAGCTCCTCTTTGTATCTGTAGAATATTCCAAAGCAAAGTGCCTTACCAAACAGCAGCAGAACCTTAACAGGGAAGTGTTGTTCATCACTCAGCTTTGTTTATACTGTTGTGATTTCACTATAAATGTGAGTGAATTATTAGCCACGAGGCTCCCTGCGAGTGGTGTTGCACTTATAAATGAGAGATTGTTTATTTGAAAAAGAAATTAATGCCAGAAAGGCAAAGAATGTAAATGTCTACATATTTAAAATCATTTCTAATCCAAGCAAACATAAATGTAGACTCAACTCTGTTCCCAAGCAGAGCTGTGAGACTCATTTTGCCAGCAGCTTGAGGCAAGGTGACTTACCAGGTACAAGTACACGCCTGCAATTGTATACCCGACCTGGGCAGGCTGTCTGCAGGCTGTAATAAGCAGCAGAGTGGAACTCTAACTGAGTTTTCTCCACCCTCACCTTCAAGCCCTGAAACTGTACCAGACAGAATTTTTCCTTTCTGCGTGACAGGTGCCTCGCTTTGAGACAAGGCAGCAGTGCGATGGTAGAGGGGAAACCATATCGTTATGGACTGATAGTGGCCGGCCTGTGTGTCTTGGCAGTTGGCCTCTTCATCATGATGCAGGAGCGGCCACATGTTTTTGCTACTTTGTGCGTTCTGGGTGTCACTATGGTGTGCGCTGGGACTGTGTGGAGCCTCTGCCAGTGCTATCCTAAGGTATATGCTATGTGTGTGTGTGTTTAGTGGATAGAGAGACAAGAAATATGTGATTGTTGCCAAGAAGAAATAGATTTGGTAATGGAGATTGTGTGTTTATTAGGTCATTGTGGCTCATGAAATTCAGGAAAAAAGCCTAGAAAATATCATGGGTCCTGTGGCTGAAGATGAAAGGTACGCTCCCTAACACACACACATACACACACGCTCACTTTGTATCCTAATGGGCCACAGACAAGTGGGTGTTGACAGAGGCCTTAATTATTCCCTTTGGTCTGTCAGAGTAGCTCAGAATGCTAAGTGCCCATCGAGTAGTGGGTGAACATGGCGACAGCAGCGGTGTGTGTGGGCAGGCTGGTGCTATGGGTCTGCACTAAATCACTGTAGATATTCATTTTATTATTGTTCTGTTTGCTTAATGGAGAGAGGTTAGGAAAAGTGGAACAGAGGGAAAGGAAGAGCCATTAGACAAAAGGTTGGGACTGAAAGGGGCAGATTAGTTGGAAACTAGGGCTGAAAACCATTAATGCTGAAAAAAATCCTTGAGCCTCATTTATTCCAGCTGCAGTCAAAAAAAGAGGTTGTACTGTGCAACTCCTGCATGAGTGTTTGCAATTACAAGAGAGTTCTGCAGCCAGATAGAGACATGCATGCTCAGCGAAACCCTGTCTCTGATGCACCAAAAAAAGTAAGAAAATGAGGACAAAATACTGGAACCAGACTTCTATTTCTGTACCCCCACCCACCCAACCCCCACCCCTTCTGATTTAATTTTAGACACACTGAGGTTCTGCCAGGTTTCTGTGGCCATAAGCTGAGCAGCGTCAGACTTCTCCCAGAGACCCTGAAGAGTCAGTGTCATAGCTGTCCCACTCTGCATCTGGTCTGAGGGAGGGACAACACTACCAGAGGACTCCTCCAGGGTACCACACTGCTCTCAGGATAGTGAGGAGTCCCCTCGATGAATTTTTATACTTCCTTTCTGCATCGCTCACACATCTTGCTGTTTGAATGTGCCTTTCTTTTGTTTTCTTTTTACATCTAATGGAAGCAACTGACAATGTATCAGCGGTTTTGCACCACTTGTCATTGTGAAATGCTTAATAAAGCTAATTAAGTGTTATATAGTATTTCCAGAAGATGGCACTGTTTACTGTATGAAAGTATGTCTGTGTGTCTGTTAGACAGAGTGCAGCACTGCATTTATACGGTGTACAATAATTCATTTAAGACATTTTGGCCCCTCAGTGAACTTGTGCTCTTTTATAGCTGGATAAGCTATAAGCCTGCGTGATGTGACAAATCTCCATGTGTTTCTTTTCAAAACGCTTATCTACACTGCCTGTTGAGACATTACTGCCACCAACTGTTGAAGAACAAAGTGAAACTGGTAGCAGGAATTTGTAGAGTTCTGCATGTCTCTCTTTGTGGATACGCTGTTTGCATAGCAAAACGGGCGTTATTACCAGTCTATTACCAGTAATAACAGAATAATTCCACAATGCAAGAATTTATGATGTATAGCAGAGAGGTTAGATATTTTTGTAGCTTCTCTGTTGCTGTAAAATCAAAATGTACATTTTATCATTCTACTTTGGTGTTTCTGGTGTGAAATTCCTCGGGCTCAGTCCAAACCAACCTCAGTGACACAATCAAGCGGGTAGCTTTGTCGAATTTGGGCTCCTCCAGAGCCCCAGAGGGTATTATGTAACAGTTTCCTGAGTTCAAAGAGAAAAGGGATCATGCTTTGAAAAAATGTTTTTTTTTAAAAAAAACATATAACTCGTCGTAATAATTATTACTCTTCTTATTCTTTTTAAATGGAAGTGTATGAAACTGCTAACAGTTTTGAGTGCTTAAAGTTAAAAACGCGTACAGTATGTCAGAGTAAAATAGAGACGCACGCGTTTTGCGTCGCATTCTGCAGTCCTGCGCACATATTAAATAAAAAACAAACAGTAAAGATAATAAAACAACATAGATAACCTATGAAAAATAAACGTAGTCTCCCTGTGAGTGCGCAATCACGGAGAATGAGTTTACGCGTACTTAGACTTTCAATCACAGCTCATACTGTTCACTATAAGTGCGCGTGCTAAAACGACATCAACAAATCAACTTGAAGTGAGAGGAAGTGTTCTCTCAGATTGACATGCAATAATTACAGGGTGGTTTGGGGGGGCATGAAACATGACTCCTCCACAGTAAGAGGTGTTTTAAACGGAGGACAATCATTCGATACAAAAGAGGTGGCGTGAGCCATGGAAACGTCACCAGTCCCCGCCTTAAGTTATAAGAATCAATTGTTGGATTCCCCCCCCCCCAAAAAAAAAAAATCAGAATAGATTGTTGGAGGCGTTATCTTAACTGCCAGACACAGAGGGCACGCGGCTGTTGGAGACTTATCATCAGGATAAGTCAGACTGAAATAAAAAATAAAAACATCAGTGGTGTAATTTAATAGCTCTCTTTATCATTTTACTGGGAACAGTTCAAGAGGTGTGAAGAATGCGTTGCACCTCAGCCTGGATTGGCTGGGCTTTATGTTTGTGCGCATCTCTGGCCGTGCGCGCACAGGACTACACCGAGGACGACGGGATGATCCTGGACCTGGTCGGCGAGGACAGGACTGATCCTGAAACCGGAACCGACCCGGCAGCCGAGTTCATCAGGTGCAACAAGGTAATGGCATAGTGATTGCGTCAAAGGCATTAAATGCGCATCTTCAGTCATCAGCACCTGTCATTATTCCAAAAACGGGTAAAATATTTGGTCAAATATTTCAACAAACAATCTTTGCTGATGTACCTGACAAGCTGCCAGTTTGAGATACAGATTCGTTAAAATGTGCGCTCACATGCTGGGAGATAATACTTATTCATGTGTTATTGTGAAAACAGCGCAATACACACAATATAGATATATATATATAAATCCAACTTATTGCACGCATGCTACATTTCTCCTGTGCACGTGGACATGAAGATCACATGTGCGCTGCATTATTTTTACTGTCCAGGTAGCCTGGCGCATTCCCGGACAGTACATAGTTGTATTGCGTCAGGGGACGCACGAGTCTCAACTCCAGAGGACCATCAGGAGGCTGCGAAGTAAAGCAGCCAGGAGAGGATACCTGGTGGAGATCCTGCAGACCTACTCAGGAGCACTGCGTGGCTTTCTGGTCAAACTGAGTAGTGACGTCCTTCACCTGGTAATTGCGTCACTTCACTGGATGTGTTCGGGAAAAGTGTGATTTAAACCTTTAAGGCAAAAAGGGGAACACAGGGAAATAGATGTCAAATCATAGCAGATCCATTTTCTAAAGGTTAAGACATTCCGAACGGGACATCCTAAGAGCTTATAGGTGGAAGGCAGATCTAAGAAAGCAGCTATAGTCTTGAATAACACTGTAACATTGTATACTGGCACAAGACGAGTTAATGGCAGAAAAGATTGGAGTAATATGGATTTTCTGACTGCAGCTTTTTGCAGAGGTCTGTGCAGTCTGTGTATATTTGACCTACTTGACCAAAATAAAGTGAGAATACGGGAGTCTGGAATGAATGATAGACAAAGTGTACTACTTTCGGTTAAATATTGGCGGCGTTTTCAGGATTATTTATTTCGAGTCGCATAAGATGGACCGAGAATGATGAGAGGTGTGTGTGTATTTATGTGTGTTTTTTATTTTAAAATCTGTAAAATTATAAGTAAGTGTAGATTTAAAGTAAAAGAACTCCTCACCCGCCTTTAGAATGTTAACAAAGAGGTTTTGTGGAGCATTTGAAATCATTCAGCTGTAGGAGTTGAACAAAAATAATCAGAAACTTTGCTGAAAAACACACAGAAAACGTGAATTAGTTGAACTCTGTATAGTATGAGTGCTGGTGGTAATTTTAGACAGAGTTTCTTGACAGTTGAGAGGTTGTAGACTCACCTTTGGTATCTGCGCATTCTTGAATTATGTCAAAAAATAAAAATACACAAATAAAACGTGAAACAGTGAAACAGACTTTAAAGAAGAATGGTCAGCTTTACCCCCACCTGATTTAACAATCAACTTCCTGTTAATCATTCCTTACCACCCACAGTTAAGTTTGATTGTGTTCCTGTCAGGTGGCGAAGCTCCCTCACGTGCACTACATAGAGGAGGACTCATCCATCTTTGCTCAGAGCGCCCCCTGGAACCTGCAGAGGTTACTGCACCCTTACGGTGGTTTCTCCGAAAATGGAACATACAGACCTCCAAGTGAGTTTGTCTCTGTCCATGACTTATCTGTATTTTTCGTCAAAATACTATAGGAAACCACGTGCGCTCTTAAGCAATGTAACTACCGAGGCAAACAAAACATTTTGCATTAAGAGTTTCAGGAGTCATTGGGGCGGTTGGAGTAATATACAACTACCCCAATGTTTCTATTGTAAACAGCTCAAGAACAGCAGAAAACACGACTTTTCTTATTTCATTTTCCACATTTATGACAACAGGAACATTTATTCTACAGCAGCATATTCAGCAGTATCATCTCTCTTATTATATCAAGCTGTAAACAACAAGGAATTCCTGTCTTTGTGCAATAAGCCTGATATTGAAAGGTGCCTCTCAGTTTAATTTCTATGAAGTCACCCGACGGTCACCATCACCATGGCAACCTTTAATTGCAGCCGCTTCAGAAGAACTAATTACATGCTAATATCTGTGTTGTGTTAGTTCAATTCAAGCTAAGCTTAAATACAGTTAAGTCCATAACTTGCTGGGCCAAGACACCATTTTTGTAGTTTTGCCTTTGTGCACCGCTACAGTGGACTAGCATTCAAATTAGCATTATCTGTTAGGGAAGTAAATCCATTTTTTATATACAGATACATTTTCAGAGGCTCAATAATAATTGGAAAATGGACTGACAGTTTCATGGCCAGGTGAGGCCTGTTCCTTGGTATTTCACATGAAGTAGTATCTGTGATTGAACCAGGGTGTTGAACTTGCATTTGGTAACTATCTACTAGAAGTCTCAATGCCAATGCAAGAAACATTAATTTGTATAAATTTCCTAGCCCTTAGACTGTGATGGACAGGGGCTCAAAGAACCAGTTCTTTCTTTCTCATCTTCCCAAACATTTGTCACTGGAACTAAATGCTTATGGGGCTTTAAAAATGATCTTTTTTCCATTTAAATGACATCTGAGCCATTTGTGCAGTTTAGCTGTCAGATATCCATCAAGCAGTGCAGCTTTCCAACAGCAACCACACTGAGATTTCTCCCCTCAGAAATTGCATTTTCTAATTACATGTCAAATTCACCATCTGTCCTCTGCAGATGATGGAGGGAGGACGCAGGTGTATCTGATGGATGGCAGTGTGCAGAGTTCTCACAGAGAGGTTGAAGGACGGGTACTCATCACAGACTTCAATAACGCCCCTGAAGAGGATGGAGTCAGAGTTCACAGACAGGTTAAACACATGCACGCACAAATGAAACATTTCAATTCAACAGCACTTATGTATTTGCAATTGCAGCTCAATAACATTCTAAATCCTCGTTCCACTACAGGCCAGTCAGTGTGACAGTCATGGTACACACGTGGCAGGTATTGTGAGTGGATCAGATTCAGGTGTTGCTCGAGGGGCTGCTGTTAACCTAGTGCGTGTGCTCAACTGTCAGGGTAAAGGGACCGTCTCAGGAGCTCTGGCAGGTAAGACAGAAACTGTTGAACTGTACTTTGTACTAAAGACTACCAGAGCCAAGCAAAAACTCTTGAGTTTCTTTCTCTTGGGTCATGGTGACACAGCTTGTGGATGGCATGAAAAATATTTCAGTTTTATCAAAACATTGTCTTCCAAAGGACATCTTCTGACTATGACTCTGGCCCTTTCCCTCTAGATATACATGGGGAGTGTCATAACTGAGTTATTGCAAGAACATGAGTGGGTCATATGTTTAATATTTTGGCTGTTGACTGGTTCTTTGTGGGCACAGGTAGTGCAACCATCATCTACAGTGTACAGAATTCTAATCTACATTATGAGCGCCATGTTTCACTCTTACAGCAACTTTGATTTAAAGCTGCAGGTAGAAAAAAACGCCCATATTTGTAGAAAAAAATAAAATTAAAAAAAGACCCCAACTGCAGTAGTTCTTCAGTCTCTGTTCACCAGACAGAAGAACCAGACTTTTCTCTTCTTCTTCTAAAACCTGAGAAGTTCAGGTCAGACTGCTTGTGTTAAAATATAAATAATTATGGGTAGTATGAATCCCTAGGAGACCAATGATCCCTAATAATGCAGCTATAAACTCTTAGTCTGGTTTTAAAGACTTTTAGAACACACTTTCATTTCATTAACTGTATTGAAAGAGAAAAGGAAGATGACCACAGTGTAAAACTTCCAATTTTTCTTGAGTGTATGAGGTTTTAGATTGTCCCTTTCCCCTTTCTGTCAGGAATGGAATACATTCGAGCCACTTTACTGGCCCGCCCAGTGGATGCAGTAGTCGTGTTGCTTCCTTTTGCTGGTGGCCTCAGCCGTTCATTAAACACAGCCTGTCGAGACATGGTGGCTAACAGCGCTGTGGTCATCGCCGCAGCAGGCAACTACAGAGATGATGCCTGTCTCTACTCACCTGCTTCAGAGCCTGAGGTAATTTAACACTGAAAATGCAATCACATTCTGGCCCACCTACACGCGACCCTCACCTTTACCTCCTTTCATGTGTGTGTGTGTGTGTATAGGTCATCACAGTGGGGGCAGTTAACTCAATGGACCAGCTCATGTCACAGGGAGCAGGTGGTACCAACTTCGGCCGCTGCGTTGATTTGTTTGCACCCGGCGACGACATCATTAGTGCCAGTAGTGACTGCAGCACCTGCTTCACCTCCCGCAGTGGAACCTCACAGGCTGCTGCACACGCTGCAGGTACGCAAACACACACACGCGCACGCAAAAGCAATCTGTGTATGCTGTTGGTATATCAATCATTCTTTTATTACAGACTCAATGATCCTTACAAAAAAAAATCACATAAACACTAGAAAAAATATAATTGCATATTATAGATCATTGCAGGGAAAGCAGCTGTAGCAGTGTCTCCACACCTGGGATTGGTTGCATGTTGTAATACATCTTATATTTGATAATCCCGCAATGATTTTCAGAGGCATTAAGCCTGCAGATAAATTTATGCATGAGATTTCTGAAAACAACTTTAAAAGTACTGACTTGTGCATCCACAAATATTTCACTTGCGCTGACAAATCAAGGTTTTCTCTCTAATGATCACTCAGAAGACTTTCACTAGTTAGCATACAAGTATGCAGTGTACAGATGTGTACAGCGTGCTTTAAATAGAGATATCTTCACTAAGGTTGCATAAGAAAGGTTGTGCATAAATCATTTTTGCACATCAGTATCGTTACCATTTGTCACAGCACAATTACTTCATAATTTGTTTTTATTTGTGTAGGTGTCGTAGCAGTGATCCTGTCGTCCAGTCAGATTGCATCACCAGTGCACGTCCTCCATATGATGTTGCATTACTCCATCAGCAACACTATCGACTTCCTATCTCTGTCCGAAAGCCATCGGCTCACCACGCCAAACCTGGTAGCAGCCATGCCTCCGGTTATTAAAACGTCACCAAGTTAGTGACTCACATTCCTTTATCACACACAGACTTATAGTATCTATATGTGGTTCACATATGCGTTAATATTTCTACAAGCAGATGGGGAGCTACTGTGTCGGTCAGTGTGGTCAGAGAGGTCAGGAGTCGCGAGCACCGACAGGGTCATCAGCCGCTGTCGTCAAGGGGAGGAAATGATGGGCTGCAGCAGTTATGCTCCTGAAGGCGTCCGTGTGGGGGAAACCATCACTGTTAGTTCAGTTACATCAGCCATAATATCAACAATAACTTCACTCTAAAGTCTATAAGTCTACGGACAAACCCTCACCCCCTGTGTTTACAGATGAACAGCGGACACATGGAGTGTATTGCCCATAATGGTCCAGCAGGTAAAGGTGTGTATGCTGTGGCCCGCTGTTGTGTGATAAGCGGTCTGCAGTGCCAGGTCCATGCTAGTCCTGAGCAAGGACAAGCTGCTCAGTGCGTCGGCCCCCAGCACCACCTGACCGGTGAGTCACGTGTACAAGCTGCAGGAGTTTGAATGAGGCAGTCAGTCTGACATTTTAGGAGAAGCTCTTACTTGTTTTCTTGCTAAGAGTTAGAAGAGAAAATAAATGACACCATCATGTGTGTCTATAAACCAGAAGTTCAACTATCAGCTCATAATTTTGCAAAAATATTACCGTAAAAAAATCAAAGGGGTAATATATTAAATATTTACACTCACAGGACACTTTATTAGGTACACCTTGCTAGTACTGGGTTGATCTCTTTTTTTTTTTTTTAACCTTGCTTTAGTTCTTTATGGCATAGACATAGATAGAATAAGGTGCTGGAAACATTCCTCAGAGATTTTGGACCATATTAACATGACAGCATCGCACTGTTGCTGCAGGTTTGCCGGCTGCACATGTATGATGCAAATCTCCTGATCCACCATATCCCACATGTGCTGGATGGTCATTTGAGTACATTGAAGTCATTGTCTAAGAAACCATTCTGAGATGATGTGAGCTTTGTGACATGGTGCGTTATCCATAAAGGGATAGACTTGGTCAGCAATAGTGCTAAGGTAGGCTTTTTCTGACCACTCTGCATATATCCAAGAGATTGTTATGTGTATTTCAGCAGTTTGTCAAGTACTCAGACCAGCCACTCTAGCACAAACGGCATTCAAAATCCCTTAAATTCCCTTCCTTCCCCATTCGGATGCCCTGATGCTCAGTTTGAGTTATTTGCCAATCAAAGCTAACTTTATTTATAAGGCACTTTAAAAACAGTGAGCACTGACCAAGTGCTGAACATAAACTAAAAAGAATAAAAATATAAATACTAAAAAAAACAAATGAAATGACAGTAACAATAAAGCACACCAACATCAGAAAGACAATAAAATTAACATTCTATTCTGGGTCTATGTGATTAGCTGATTTGCATTAATTAGCAGTTGATGAGGTGTAGTTAAAGACTATTAATTTGGACTTAATCTTCCATTTAACAAGTCCTATCTATTTTTCATGAACACGTGTACAGATTACATAAAAATATAGCTGGTGCAGAGCTGTTGTTTTTTTTTAAATTTTATTTTATTTTGAATATTTGTATTAATTTAATTTCAGCTAGTTTTCAGTGTGTTAGGAGTCTTAGTTTGAAGTTAAGCAGGTTGTCTCAACTACGATGTGATTAGTGATATGATCATGACCATTTGTACCTAATATAGTGGACAGACAGTGAATAGGGCTCTTCAGATTTTATTTTATCCATACCAACAATAAAAAATATATTTATAAAATAAATACTAATACAAATCTAATACTGTTAGATCAAGGAAACAATGTTCCAGAAAGCATCTGGGAAAATGTGGAGGAAAAAATTATTTATTTAATATCTTTTTGTTTTAAATTAGTAATCAGAGATCATGGTTTAATAGCTGGCAGAATGAATACAGCTCTTTGAACACTGTTTATATTGCTTATGATAAGTTTAGCCAAGAGACTCCTCCCTCCAGCTTCACACTAAGAGATATAGGAAGTGGGATGAAATGTCAGCCCCCTTTAAAAACAAAAACAAAGTCTATTAATTTAAATTTAGTTGCTGTCGATGTACTGAAGCGATGCACCTCAGGTATATAATCTGTATTTTTTAGTCAAAGTCAGGCTGCTGCATTTAGAATATCTTAGCCAGGTATGCTTGTTCCCATGGTAATCACCCTGAAAGGAAAATGTAACCCTAGCCAGCACAATTGCCAGCTACTCCACGAGTGTGTGATAGAAAAAGCAGCTTTTCAAATGTCATTAGAGCACTTAAATTACTTTACATTACATTTCTCATTGGTTGCCTCCATAGTGGTCTCTCTGAGGAGGATCAGTTAATGCTTGGCAACAGCGCCTCTAAAGTTCTTTGCTCCTTCGTTGTGTTTAAAGATTCAGCTGATTCTTCTCTAGGGTGTACATCGATGTCCACAGCTGAGATCTCATCTGATCCGCATCCACGTCACAGCCAGGGGAAGCGCTGCACGGTGAAAGAGGGGGTCACATCACACGCGATATGCTGCCATGCTGCATCTCTCGAGTGCAACCTGTTGGAAAACATATCAGCTGACAAAGATCAGGTGAAATAAAATAAAAATCACAGTAAAAACTTTGAGAATCAGCTACTGGAAGTTACCTCAGAAGTTATCGTTTTCCTTCAGGTTGAGGTTTCCTGTCCTTCCGGCTGGACTCTGACAGACTGCAGTTTCGTCTCTCGGGGCTCTGCTATCTTGGGGCCAGTTGCCAAGGGAAACAGTTGCCATGTCTATGGTGTCACGGGAGTGGATGGAGCAGCGGGTGCTGCCGTCTGCTGTCGTGTCGCACCACCAGAGCAGCAAGCTGCAACACCTCACTGATCCGGTTTCACCTCACTTTGGTTTCTAACATCATTGAAACAGCTTTGACGTTGCAATTTTTTTGTCTTTGGTCAGTTTTAAACCCCCTTACACTTTTCTGAGAAACCTCAACATCCTTAATATTCACTTAAAGCACTTCTGTAAAGCTGTTTGTGTGTGTTTTAGTTTTAGGATTACGCCAGATTATGCTCCAGTGCACATATTATATGTGACTTGACAACCTGTAAGCTATTTTTGTATCTTTTTACAAAACAGTTATAATAAAAAGAGCTTTCACAAACATACGGTTTGGATAATAGTGTAGTATTTACCGGGTATACCATCCGCATGCTGTTTAGAAGTTAATAAACTGAACAAATGAAATCAAAATGTTAAGCTCTGGTGTCAGCCATGTGTGTTTTAGAGTGGAAAAACATGATGATGTGCACCACAGGTTGTCACAGTTAGCATGTGTTATGTATGCACTGATTTCCTGACATTCCTCAGTCTTGTGCAGCACAGCTGCAGGTAATCAGCCTGCTTGATTAACAAGTCAGGTACCTTTTGCTCATTTTGTGAAACAGTAGGTGGAAACAAAATGAGGTAAATGGCTAACAGTAGGGACACCAGTTAAACAAATTTCATGTCTACCCAGAGTGTTATTGTGACAGTGGCTTTTATGGCTCCACAGTTAGAGACTTAGTTCTGATACACAGGTGGGTGACGTCAGTGTGAACAAGAGCAAAAGGAAGCATATAAACCACTGTCAGCTAGCTTGCGCCAATCAGCTAGCTGTCTGATTGGCACAAGACAGCATTCTATCCGACTGAACCTATATGACCAAAGACTGATAAAAAATAAAAACAAAGTTTACCCAGAATACAGTAAATGAAGCTAGTGCTGAATTCATGTGTGTAATTCTGTTAGCAGGATGCAGAGTAGGTACAAATTAAAGATTTAAGCTATTCTGATTTAGAATCAGCATTCTTAAAGATTCAGTTGGTGTTTGTTTCTTATGTCATTTTTTGTAACCATTTAACTAGTGACCTGATCCATCAGCTGTAATGGTCAAACTTAGAAGCCTGAGCCTTCTATGAGTTCTAAAACATAAAAGAAACTGCTCTTGTTTTGTATTATTTGGTCTGTTGTAACCTGTAAATGGTTCCCAAATGGTGTGCCTCAAGGCAAGTTCAGGCCTGCTAAAAAATGAGCTGTTTATTGCAATTTACACAAATGGGCACCAAAAGTTTCAAAACCCATGCTGTAAACAAATTAAATTATCTGTTGTGCACTGTCTCTGATGCATAAATTGATATCAGTATCAATATTGGGGCCACAGGTAATGTTTTTAAGGTGCTGTAGACTGTATATAAAAGATGGATGTAGGTTCCAGGACTAAAAAAGTATGTGTGGATTTGTATGCATCTAGTTGCAAAGAGAAGTCCAGTTTAATAGAATGAGAAAGTGGTCCTTAGCTTGTTTGCCTAGTAAAAGCTTTCCTGATGAGTTTAAGACCTTAGCGTGTAGATTCAAGCCTTGCTGAAGACAAGCTGGTGTTCATTTAGTGAATTATAGTTCCTATTCGTGTCTACAAAGATAATACATTGAAATGTGGCCTCCAAGTTTGTCATTATCTTGTTTTAAAAGAGCTAAGATGGTGAAAATGCTCAGTTTGAAGCTTCACAAAACAACTGGCGATGTCACAGAGGTTACGCCTTTTATATACAGTCTACGGTTGTATCATGGGACAGTATATAGAAATGCATAAAGACAATATTTGCAAAAGGTTGTGCATTCCAGTTTATTTTATATCAAATTTCCCCTTAATCAAACTCTGATGTACAAATTAAAACTGAGTCTTAACATGCATTACAGAGTCTTGCGATGTCAGAAGTGAAGTTTCAAAATTGAATGACAGTAAAAACCCGTATAGATGCCAATCCCTAACCTCGCACCTACCCATCCCTCCCTGCATCCCAGGATTAAAACAAGATTGTTTTGAAGTTGTTGTTTTTTTCTTTTTTTCTATTTTTAAGTATTTGTGGTGATGTAGCAGAGGGCCAAACCAACAAAACTCTTGGCTGAATGCAACTCATGTTGCCATGGTCATGTAATCACTTGGCACAGACTGCATGCAGCTCCTTCAGATCGCTCATAACCAGCCACTGTGAAGGGGCGTGTGTTTGTGACATTAATGATACCAAATTACACAGCAAACAACATGGGGAAGGGGTGGGGGCTGATTTTGTTTTTTTTCCATCACGCAGAAAAGACAAACCTCACCATCACTTACTGCCACACATGCAAACGTGCTGGAGAGCACGATGTGACATTCACATCTAATGAGAGGAAATGGGGTGGAGGAGCATGGAAGGGCTAAAGCAGTGTCTTTCCTCTTCTCGGATGCAGAGGAGCCAGCGGATTGATCGCACGTTGATTCAAACAGAAAATCATTTTGCATGGTAGCTTCCTAGGTCCTTACATTGTAAACATTGACCTGTTAAAGCTGCGAGCTAATCTGCTAAGCAAGTTTAGGCTCATGTCTTAAAACATGTTAGTGAAAGCGTGACTTCATTAAAACTACCTAGCATGAATTATCTACAAAGTGTCTCTGTCTGAGTGCAGAGTGAAGAGAAGCAGCATTTTACCATCATCAGAACCCTGTCGTGTTGCCTAAACCCTGTGTTACTGGGTAAAACTTCCACGCCCACCTCCCCATTCACACACAGAGTCAACAGTTACATTCCTACAGTCCTTTGTCACAACACACAGAGGAAATTCCCTGTAGTAGTTTCAAGAATAATGCAAAGGAAGAAGCCCTGTTGCCCTTCTACATGACCACAGGAGACACTTGGTTTAGCGTCACGGGTGGAGCAGATGAGGACGTACCTCATCGGAGATGTGACGAGACAGTGTCCGAGGGGAGACGGGAGGGAGATCGGGAGGTTAAGGCACTTCAAGTCTCCCGATGATGGGGGCAGGGATGATGGTAACATGGATGTTGCTCTCCAGTAAAAACTAGAGCTACATTTGGGTTTAGCTCCTCTGTGTGAGTTTCCAAAGGTTGACAAAAGCAAAAGGCAAAGCAAAATGTAAACTCCATCGGAAAAAAAAAAGAAACCTGATAAAGCAGAGGTAACAGTGAGGTGAAGAGGACCTGTTCTCTGTCTTTGTGAGCGAAGTGAATGAGTGACACACGCCTGCATGTTTTTCAGAAGTTCTAGTTTTTGTGTGCATGTGTGTGTGTGTAACCTTGGCACCTAAAAATAAAAACCTGCTCCTGAGCTCCCCTTCAGGCAGCACTGATGGCCCACCACAACTGATCTGCGCTCTTCCAGATCAGCTTTTTCCTGCATAAGGCTCGAGTCCCTAATCCTCTGCAGTAATTCAATTCATCCAGATTCAAAGAAAAGTGGCATTGAAAATAAAACAAAGCGACAAAAAGAATAAAATCCAGAACACGAGGCCGCTTGTCAGCAAGGAGGAGGAGTGGAGGGAGAGTACTGACCATGGCACTGCTTGTTTCAGATATGCTGAGGGTCTGGAACCGTCATACAACAGGACCAGCCCCCTACTGCATCCCGATGGCTACACTGTGGTGGCCGAGGGTCAAAGGTCAAGTCACAGGCAGACTGGCTTGCCATCAGGGCTCTCACGTGTTGCATAAGTGGCACTGCAAATATAAGTTGTTAAAAGCAAAAGAAGACGAGGCTCTAGAGGAACTGACCAGTGCTGCTGTACATCACAACAGAATGGGTTGGACTATAAAGTGCATACTTAAACCCACCCTCCCTCCCGAGTGCTCATATGTGGAGGTGTTCCTGTCTGTAAGTTCCTCTAGAGCAGCTAAATGTGACCTCCCGCAATTTGCATGGCTGTGAGAGAAGAGCACAGGACACTTTAAAATATTATCTTACACTGGAAATAACATCTATGGAACAAAATCTTTACAATATGAATATGTAGATAAATTGGCAAACATGAGCAGAAAATTGTTAAAACACAACCCAAACCCATCCTCCACCTTGCTGTCATTCTGAGTGAATGAATGAATAAAAGGATAAACTGAAGTCATCCATGATTGTGGAAGGTTATTTGCACTTCCCACCCTAATCAACTCTGCTGCCCTTTATGATAATGCATCTCCATCATCGCCTTGGCTCATGTGAAAGGAAGTAATTCATGATTTATTCATAGCTCCTTCGTTGCCTTAGCGACCGAGACAAATGTTCTGATTGGCTTGCTGTGGAGTCCTAAATGTCCTGACCAATCAGAGGCAAAGTGCAGCCTTTTCGAATGGCTTCCCGGAGCTGCCTCTCCTTTAGAGGGATCCCACTGGTAGGACGCCCTAGGGGTCCACGTCTTCTAGATCGCTCTTAGAATCACCGAGCATCATGGGAGACTCTGACCCCTGTGGTAGAATAGAGGGAAGTTGGATTAAAAAAAAAAAAGTTGAATTATCCATCTGTTAGGCAGAGCCAGGAGGATTATAATTTCTATTCAACACACTGATTGTCTATAATGTTTTTATGTGAGCACAAGTGACAATCTGGGGCTGTGTGGGCTTCCTGACAGCCCCAGCGGGAGTTGGAGAAGAATGAAACAGCTTCAAATCCACCTCTAATAATAACCGTGGGCGGTAACAAACTGCCTTTATAGCTTTTGACAGAAGCCAATGAGATGATCCATTTTTGCTCTATTCTTCTCTTTCGGGCTTATGTGAGCTGAGCGGGAACTGCTTTAAAACCATGAGTCATTTGAGAGCTCCACTGTTCTAAGCTGCTCGTTTGGATGTAGCTGAGAGATACCTGTCGGAGACTGCGGTCAGCGTTTTCATTCGCCGGGCTGCCGTCAGAACCATTACTGCTACCAGACTGCTCTTTCTCATTTAACAATGCAGTAGCATAGGCCAAGGTATCCTGTAGAGTGTGACACACACACACACACACACACACACACACACACACACACACACACACACACACACACACACACACACACACACAGAAAATAAACAGTATGAGTGACTGTGAGTGTGATAGGAGAACTGGAGGGCGTTGATATACGGTATTTTTGTGTGTGCGTGCATTTACCTGTGCAGAAATTGTGCGCTGGAAGGTTTTATTGGTGGATGTCTCATTTGAGACGTTGCTCTGTGGAGTCCAGTAATGTTCTGTCATCTGAAGGCAGAGAGAGTCACTGTGAGCATACAGCATAATTTACAGTTCTTCATAAGTGCCATAGTGGTTAAGCTAAGTGTCTCCTAAACAGGGGGCACTGTAAAGACTCTCGTTTAGCTCCAGTAATATGAAAATTAATGACGGAACAAAACAATTAATATACTGAGTGAGCTGTGAACAAAACTGTATACAGAAAGAAACAATAATGATAATAAATATGACTTAAAAGAGTTTTAAGTTCAGTTCGGAAAAACAGTTCAGTTACCTAAAGTTCGCTGTAATGAATAGAAAATAGTAACTGTATAGTCTGCATACAACAATGCTGTTTTTATGTTAGTTTATTGTTTATCTATTACTTAAATACTTTGGTGTAGTACAAATGGCCATGGGGGAGGTCTTTGTAAGTAGTAAAAGCGGTAAAACCTATGAAAACACAGTTAAAAGTCCAAAGTCGATCCTCCCCTTCACATTTTCCAATGCAGTCCAGTGGGCTGATTTGCTGAGCTGATTCTGGCCCTCGGACCTTATGTTTGGCACCAAGTGGTAACTAATATCAAGGCAAACTTTACTAAACTA